AGCACCGGGCACTGAGTCTGCTGCCAACTTGTTATAGGCTCATTACAGGTGAAGATGACATGTGGAGGTGCAGCCGCCTTGGCATTGTCTCCCTGCCCTGCCCTCGATAGAAAGGCACAGCACTCTGTCACTCCCCTCGGCACAGAGAGGAGGCGGAAAAAGGTGATGGAGAGAGGGAGGGAATGAGCCTCAATGCTCCCCTAACCCCCCAAAATGAAATTGACAGGCTCGCTGAAGTAATTGCTCCCAGCACTATTTTCTTTGGCAGGAAATACTGTTATCGACAAATAGGGGATTCAATAAGCGGCAGGAGATGAGGCTCTAGGCAGTGGTCAAAAGGCGGTGTCTGTCCTCTACGGCTGCAGTGTCTCCTGATGTCCTATCTCTCTGCCCTGCCTTTTCTCGCCCGTACTCTTTCTCTCCTTTGGTATCCAACCCCTACTTCTTCTAACTTACTCCCTATGCTTCTTTTTACACCTTTGCTCATCCCCCGCACAATATCTCTCCCTCATCCCTCCAACGTCCCATGCTCCCTTTCTCTAGGGTCTCTTTTTGACCATTTTCTTCTGTTGACCATTTTTTGCGAGCCTGAAGGGGAAACTCTATCACCCTGTAGCCGGCAGGTAATGCCCCCCCCCCCCTCTCTCTCCTCTAATCTTCAGATTGTTTTTCTGCTGCCAGTGTGGTGGTGTAATGTTGATATTATCCCAAAGGATTCTATTGATTCAGGGCAGGGTCATGAAAAAGCAGTTTATGGTCAGTGTCTTTGGTTTCCAGAGGTCAGAGCATGCGGTGAAACCAGAGCTCTAGATTTTCTGGACATAGTGGTATGCCTGCTGGGAACTACTGAGAGGGAAGAAGATAAATAAAAAAGTGGGTGATGTGTTTTCCCTTCAATGCTCTGTGTATTATAGAGGAAGTAATGTTCTGAAAATGTAGACGCTGTGAATGATCCATATCTAAAAATGGAATTACAGTGAATCGAGTACTGCATTAGAATTTTGGAGTGCCTTATTTTCTCTCTTCTTATGTTTGGGTCCATTTTTCCCTCCATCATACTGATGTGATACCGAGCATTGAGTATTGGCTGAAACCCATGCCCATTTTGTAATGATTGAAATATCAATGCAAAGTTAGTGGAAAAACTCTGATTTCAAAAACCAGTTGATTTGTGGGGGGCTATTTGGTTATGGTATCAGATTTATAAACCAATGAACTCACCAATACCTGATCATCAATACCCAGTACTGTAATTAGTTGTAGAGGTGTACATTGTTTTTGGAGCAACTATGTTATTATTCAGTTTGATATCATTCCCAAAAGTGCTTATATTTATTGGTAATAATTGTTATGTTTTACTTAATTTAAACTTTAATCTTCCAATGCTATCAAGCTGCCCTTGAAAGAAAATAAAAAAAACAGAGTACATTTTATTAAGCTCTGAAACCACTAAAGTCAAGCGTCTGCCAGATGGCAGGTGATTGGTCTTCAGACTAGCATGAAACCCACCTCTGTGGCTTTAATACATCTCACCTGCCATTATCTTTCAACTGCTTTTCAGCTCAGTGCTGACAGATCCCTTCTCCACTGTCGACCCAACTCTGTGTTTTTAGCATTTGTTATTCATCTAAGCCGATTCACTGCAGACAGCAGTGTGTTCTCAGAACCCTCAGGCTTCTCTACAGTCTGGGTTTGACTGCTGGAATGAGTGTAACAATCAGAATGTTATTTTCTGGGGACATACGGCATATTGCATTGCCCTCCCAACAATGTTCAGGTTGTAAATATAAGTACATATTGCCATAAATCTTTTTCATTTGAATTTTTTTACGAGGCTACTGTTAGTATTGTTGCTCTACCATGACACAATTTGACCATACCATATACCATATACAGTACCATATACAATACCATAACATATACCATACCATACCATATACTACCCTACCATATACCATACCATATACTACCCTACCATATACCATATACCATATACCATACCATACCATATACTACCCTACCCTACCATATACCATACCATACGCCATGCCATACCAAACCATATACCATACACCATACCATTCCATATAGCATACACCATACCATATACCATATACTATACCATACCAAACCATATACCACACCATAACTTACCATATAGCATATACCATACCATACCATACCCTATACCATATACCATATACCAAATACCATACAATACCATACAAGGCCTTTTGTATAGGCCAATCTTGAGGGAATATCTTTATATTTATTATCTTTACAGTTGTATTGTGAGCTAAGGTTGGCCTGAAATACAAAGTGTCATCTGCTGTCCCTGTGCATATGTTAAAAAGAATCCCACAGCTAACTAGTAATTCTAAAAGCATAGTCGGTTAATGCCTGGATTGACTTATTATGCCATCATCACATTAGCTCAGACTGTTTTAATACATCTTTTTTTTCTAACACATTTCTGTCTGTTACCCTTTGAGTCATTTCTTTGCAGCTCGTATTCCTTTTCGGAACATTATAGTGCTGTGACTGAAACGCTACTTGACCCTTGTACTGTATTTATTAATGTCTATAGGGTATTTTTTGGCTTCATGGTCGAAGGTCTAAAGAAAAATTCAGATTCTTTAAGAATCAGGGACATACAGTTGCAGCTTATGGAGTATACGGTATAGGATAAAAATATCTGCGTACATATTCCAAAAGTGAGTCAAAAGAATAACATAACCTTTCATTTGATCACTCATCTCAAGAGTTTGTTTGAAAACACTTTCTTTCAGGGATGAAAAGACACACTGAATTTGAAGTTCTTTTACAAGCAGACAAATATAATTGAAATGGTTCTAAGCTACTGTAAAACTTTATCACAGTCTTAGTTGAACCTTCCTAACTCAAAACCTATGAATTCAATCTCTGGGGATTTGTCAAGAGTCTGGAGTGTTTCTCTTTTCCTATCTTCATCGAATAATTTTGCTTTCCACAAATGGTTCTCTTTTAAATTTGATTTCTGAGTCTTAACAGTTAGATAGTCAATACGGGAAAAAAAAAAAAAAAAACTTTTACAGATTGTGTTGGGTTGAAACATGCAGCATAGACTCCTGTGGTAGCTAACAGTTGAAAAACATAGATGGTAATAAGAAGGATTCTTCCCTCTCCCCATGGCCTATAACTACATTCAGTCAGATAAAAGCTAAGACAGTCACTCCCACTCTTTCACCCGATGGTACTTGAGAAAAGATGAATGGCTTAAGTGTTTGTATAGATCAAGTTGAGAAAGAGGGATAAAAGTCAGAAGCACAGAACATTGATTTCTCACAAAATCAAACCACAGTTTTGAAAACTAGACAATTATCTCAAAGAACACTCGCAGGTTTCAGATTTTCTTTGAGGTGTTGCTCTTTTTTTTTTGCCAATGAATGCTGGTATCACAATAGCAGACGAGATAAATAACTAAAGCCATGCCTGAAAATGATAATAGAAGAATATATTGGTTCAGAAAAGGAACGGTAAAATGCAATCTTACTTTGGAATAATAGATCCTTGTTTATGAGTCTTTTTGGTTTTCTCTAGAAGTAGGCTTCGTGTGCTTACATTTTCACTCTGAATAATCAAATCACATTTCAACACTGGCTGTGGAAGAATGACTTCTACTTGATCTGGCAGGAATCACCTCTGCCAGTTAAGAAACAGGATGTAGCATCAGCCTTTATCAAACAAATACTTCTTCATCAGTTTGATAACCACTCACACAATGAGCTGTGTTTATACCTACAGCACATTATCATTGGCAGCTTGCTATTGTTGGACTGCCTCTGTTTTTTCACACACAAAAAAAACAAGTTCTTTCATGTTAACTGTACATTGCAAGAGAGCAGCAGGCCTCTCTTTCCTTCACATAAATGAGCAAGCTTATTACTTCCCAAACTGCCTATTAGCACAGCTCACTTTGTGGGGAACCAAACAGTCCAGGGAGGAGCACAGTGTGGAAGATTTTGCCCAGCAGTCTGGTTCAGACATGTAACACTCTTTACACCGCGTGTCTTCTCATTTGTTTTCTTGTCATACTTTGGCTCAACCACCAACTGAAATATATTTGACAAACAAAACTTTTGATATGTCTAATTTAACAAGTGTTCTTGGAGCTTGTTCTGATAGTGCAGATAAAGTAGTGAAATGCATCAATTTGCATCAAAGCCTCATCATTTCTTTAACATATATTTATTTGTTAGACTGGGAACGATGTCAGGCCTACAATAGATCAATCTTTCTGTAACTTTTGAATAAAGCTGTAGCTCAATGTAATATACGACTTCAATATGTGCTTGCAGAGTCAGAGTGTTGAAAGTGTGTTTCCCCCTGCTGTGGTTTAAGTGTGTGTATTGATGCCAATAGGTAGTCTCATTGTGTAAGCATCAGTGTAGCAACATGTCCCAAGAGCCCTCTGTTGAGATTATACAAAAGAATCCATTTACTTCAAGCAGGAGCAGCCGCAGATAGCATGTCGAGTCGGTGTTTGGCTCTCTGTGAGTATGGCCCATCATTAGAGTATTGGCAGATTGAGCAAAGCAGAAATTGGCGAACACATTTCTAGACCTATCGCTCATCCTTTATGTAAAACACAGAGGATTTTGGGCAGCTTTTATCACAAGCAGATTTGTGAGAATCAAGTCACAACAACTTCTCTTACTGAAGAAAAAAAACAGCTTACTCACTAGATAAAGTCCTTTTCACTTGTATTTATTGTCTGATTTGTTGTACAGTTAATACATGTGTCTCAGTCCGAAACTGATATGAAAACATCCACAGTTCGTATCAATAAAGATGCTGTACATTCAAATCCTACATGGATGTCTTTATGTGGTGCACACATGCTTTCTTTCTTCTTATTGATTACCACCGCTTTATCTTTCATTCCATTAAACCACCATAAGTGTTGAGTTGAAAGAGCCCTGTGAAAATCTAATCACTTTCCTCTTGATATTTTCTTCCAGGGAGGACTGAGAAACAGCAAGCATGAGTGTACACTTTCATCCCAAGAATATGTCCACGAGCTGCGTTCAGGCATCACAGAAGAAAAGCTGCTCAACTGCCTGGAGTCCCTCAGAGTTTCTCTCACAAGTAACCCTGTCAGGTGAGTTACTGGATTTGTTCACCCACTAAAGCTGTGCTTTTTTACAGGAAATTATTTTATGTTATACTGTAAATCTTCAATTTACAGCCCCTGCTTTTATTTACTTCAACCATTGAAATGACTCTGCCTTTTTTCGGGATAGGTGGCAACACGAGACAGGCCTCTAATTCGTGCACAGCAAAAATTGCACATTAAATTACAAATCACTTAATTGATCTTGCTTTGTAAGACAGCCCATCTCTCCCAAACTGCATAGTATATAAAAACTAAACACACAGGGGCCTCTATTTGAGACCTGTCTAGATTCGTCAAAATGTGTGGAAACACCAGGCTAGTAAAAAAGAGCCTTAAATTAGGACAGGCTTTTATTTAAACATTTACAGAACTCAAATACCAGAGCAGAGTATCTCCAATTACTGGCAAATGGTTTCATCAAAATGAAAAGAGGTCTTAATTTGAAGTGCTCCTTTTCTCTCTCTGCGGTCTAGTGGGGATTCTACTTTTTTTATACTTGATAAATTCTTCAGTTTAAAATGTTTAAACAATTGTGGAAATATTCTTATCCCAATTTTCCTTGGCTAAAGCTTATTTCATTAAAGCCCAATCACTCCTCCATTACCATAAAGGAGAAAGCAAACTAACGAATCTTGAATCAGTACATGCTTGTGAATTTAATCTGAAAATGGAACAATTCATGATTTATTTAAAATGTATGGCTTTGTGGCAGGAATGTGCAGGTGTATCTTATAACCTGGTATTACATATATATTTTTAAGAAGAACAAAAATGTGTTTTTACTCTCAGTAATTCATAGAGCTCTTTATTCTCCCCTTTTGAAGGCAGAATGTGGCTTTATTCTAGGGATGGTCCTTTCCTATCCACTGGAATAATATAGGGGTGTCTGCAGAAGTCTATGTCTTTAAATTAGATGTATGTAAAGAGACTTCATTGGACCCGTTCTTTGTGGATTGATCAGCTACGTTAGGCAAGAAAGGCTCACAGCATCAACTTTTAAACAAGCATGGAGAATAGTGTGCCTGTCCAAACAATCTTACAGTCCCTGGGAGTAGTTCTAGACCCCTCTGTCCATTAAGCTCTAATAGATAGGAAGTCTAGTTTTCCACATCAGAAAGCCAGCCATACTGGGCCTTAATAAGCACACGGCTTTGTGTCATGTGTACAACCTGCTTCCAATCTAACAAAATAAAAATGACTAGTGCCTGCACGTCTCTACTTAAATTGTCATGATTAGTATTACTAAATACATTTCTTTATATCACCTATAATTTTCTTGACGTTCTCAGCTCTGTCTTCATTGGCATTGATTGGCTCTTGAGCCTTTCATTACGAGGCCTCTGTGATTTTGTAACCTTGTCTCTTCTCGTTACCAAAACTCTCTGGCTGCTCTTTTGAAAATGGGATCTTCAGTTTTAATTTGTTCCCTATTGTGCAAAGGAACTCATGACAGCCGCTCCTTTAAATTATTTACCAGCCCACTGTTGAGGAGATGTTTCTTAATGTGAATCAATGAATGGTGCATATTAAATGGACATTGCTTGAGAGGAATGCTTTTTTGTATATTCACCTTGAACACAGATACAGGGACCCCCATGCAAGGCCTCTTAGAGGCTTTTATTTGATTTGTGTACTACTACCAGCCTGTCAACTGCATCTACTTATTTTAGAACATGGACACAAAGTTGTTTTTTCTCTTGCAATAATTTTTGCAGAGAGACGGATCTAACTAAGTATTTAAAGATATTTGTTATGCTAATATTAGCTAGCGATTCTTAGACAGAGAAATTGTACACACATTTTTAGTATTCTAAGCTTCACTCAACTGCATATTTAATGTTATGTAAGTGTGGTATACAGCACAGAGTATAGCAAAGAAGTTAAGTAATCATCCCTGGAGTGATTGCAGTGCTGTGAAGCCGGTCTCCATGGTCTCAGGCAAGCTGTGGGGAGTCAAGTCAGCCTCTCCACTCAGAAAGGCCAACTGGTGCCGAGGGGATGTAAGCGAGGCCAGGCTTGCCCTGTGGGTGTTTTCAAATAGCTAAACCTTTGACCGGCATGTAAAGGACCAGTGCAGCACAGAGTCAAAGGAGGGCCACGTCCATCTAGGGAGGAAAAAAAACCACCCGTGGGCTATGTGTGCTGCGGGGGAGGAGTCTGCGAGTGTGCTGACTCAAAAACTGTCCTCCTGCTTGTCCTCACACCCGTTCTCTTATCTCTCCTGGAGACAGGGAGGGACTGATTGTTTTCTTAAAGCATGGATAAGGTTACTCCTGATTAACATGAATGCACTTAATTGTCATGGATCACAACACACAGGGAATGCACACTTGGGTTGCAAATTTTTTTTTTGACTTCACTATGTTAATGTAACCTTTGTACGGTATGTTATCATATACTGAAAATAATAATGAAGAAGATGAGAGAACAGGGCATTCACGCTTTTGTCAATTTCCATTTGGGAATAATAATAAGTTGCTCGTCTTTAAAACTGCTTTTAATTCATGGACTTTCCAGTAAAGTTGAAGAAATGATCACATTCCTCTGCAGAAGCTGCAGAAGCTAGTAATGAGCTTGTATTCATTACATGTAGAGATGTGGTAGCAGTAATTGCTGAATATACTGTATGACTTTTACTAGTTTACCTCATACTTCATAGCATTGAAAAACATTTCTCATTAAAGGGACAAACTCCTATTCCACACCAGTCAACAGATGATTATTTTCTGGTTTCAGTTTTCTTTTTAAATGGCCAGGCAAACTTTGTTTAAAAAGTCTTTCCTGTGTTCGAACAGAATTTGAAGGCTGGAGTTTGTTTATATCAACTGTTAAAGTGATTAAAAAAAAAAGAAGAAAAAAACGAGACATAAACGGGCCACATTTGAATTGTTTTTGATTTAAGCTTAGAGTTCTGCCTTGTTGTAAGTTATATATAGAATCGTTATTTCAAGACATGGATCATTTAGCTTCCATTAGTTAAAGCACTACTTAGTCACATCCAAGCAAATGACTCACATAGTAGCATTATGAAAAAAACTATGCTTTAAGTAGCGATGTCGAGTTTGTTATTGTGTGCTGTCTAACCTCTTAGTTCATGAAGACCTTTCTTTGTCAAGTCAAGTTCTTTATTTTCTTTTTAACCATATACAAAGTACACACTGAGATGAAATGTTGTAACTCGAGGACCGTGATGCTACGGTCCTCGAGTTACAATGAGGACAATTGAGATTGAAAAATTCAGAATGATGAATATGAGATGAAATGCAATGAACAGAAGGTGGCTTTGAATAGTTTAGTAAGTAAGCAAAGTGAAGTGGATTGAAAAACAGTAACAACAAATTAAAAGTGACTAGATAAAGTGACTAAAATAGATAAAGTGGCAAAGTTAGAGTGACATTTAAAGTGTCGGACATTACTTTGTGTCATGCCTGACTTAAAAAAAAGTCTGAATCTGTAAGCAATTAAACAGTTTCCTGCACTTTTCAAATCAAAAACCTTTATTATGATCGGTGTTTAAACTCCAGACACATTTTCCACCTTCATGGCACGCTTTAACTCAAAACCAGCACTTTGTTTAATGAAACACTGCAGCCTAATTCTATACAATGGAATGAAAGTCTCACCATCAAAGAGTTGTTGTTCTTCACAGTTAGTGCTTACCATTGCTTTTTGTTTTTCCTCTGATGTTTAGGCAGCCTGCTAATTTACTCCCAGAGGCCTGTGTTTGTCTAATAGTTTAATTGGCTAGGCTGTGCACCTGTTTGGCAGCACAGGTGGCCACGGGGCCATTGTGCTGAGGGCCTTATCTCCCAGGCAGTTCCACACAGGTGTGTGGCACACAGCCTTTGCAGATCCACCCACAGATGGCATCGCCCGGAGCGGACGCCACTCACTCTGTTTCCACTCTCCTCTCCTCAGCTGCCATGCTTTCCTCTTCTCTCTCTCTCTCTCTCTCTCTCTCTCTGTCAAAAAATTCCCCCAGCCAATTATTTATCCTCTACTTCATCCTCCTCCTTTTAATTTTGGCATTTGGATACTCTCCTCTTAATTCAGAAGTGTCAGAGTGACTAGCCACTTTTCATTAATTCTTAATCCACTGACACGAAGTGAGGCGCCTTCTTCCAGAGAATTACAACCCTCTTTATTTTTCCTTTTTGCGGAATAGAAATCCTGCTGTGTTTCTGTCCAGCCTATTATTTCCTCTCATCCCACAAATACCTTATAATCTGTCTTGAACATTTTGAAAACTGTGATTCATTTAAAAATGATAAAATAATTAGATTACTTGATAGGAAACAGAAAATAACCATTGCATTCACTAAAGCAAAAGTCTTCTATTTCATTAGATCTTTACAAAACCAGGCAAACCGTGCTGTAACATTCAATTTGTACTATCAGTCTGAAGCAGTGGGGTTAAAGCTCACTTCTTCTAAACTAATTCAGCTGCTGCTCCATCAATAGACTTTCCAATAAAAGAAAGTAGCACAGTGGTTAAAGTTGTTTTGGGCAGCAGAGCTCACATCCATGGCTCCTGCTTCTGCGTTCACTGTGTTTAGCCGTCAGCATTACACTACGACTGTCAAATCCTGCAGTGACTTCCGTATTCGATCTGCTGCCTCTCAGATCCCTTAGACATATTCAAGCAAAATTGAACCGGGGCTCCTAGCTTTTCATTATGTGAAATCTTCACGGTACAAGTCAGACATTTTCTTGTGGGGTCTTTTTTTTTTGTGGAGGCGGGAGACATTTGCTGACGACTGAGTTTTTTCTCCCCCCCCCCCCCTCTCTCTGTGTGTCTGGATACTGGAGGTGTGGGTTGTTGTGATGATCTCGCTGCTCTGCCACACAGGTTTTTCTCTGAGCCTCACTCAGTCTCACTGGCTTTTCTCAGTTGAATGCTTGTAGCCGAGCACCGAGGGTTGCAAGGAAGTAACACTGGTAATGGTTTTTTTTTTTACGAGCTTTGAAGTTACTATGCCTGCTAA